AAAGAAAAATTTCAGACTATTGTAGAAAAAATTGATTTTAATCCATCGGCAGAAGAACCTGTGAAAGCTTCGGATCAATGATAAAAGATACCATTGACACTCAATAAATGAAAATTGGATGGAAACATATAAGTAATGATTCATGTATTTGTATATGATACTATATTTTTGTGAAACGCGATCTGAAATAAATGTTGAAATTTAGGGTGTGGGTGTGGGTATGTCGGTCTCACTGAAAAGAAAGTTCACACGTACATCCAAATCCCATTCACATCCACATCCATTTTGTGTACAGTGTATAAAGAATTTTGAAAAAAAAACATGTCAGTAGTCGGGTTCGGCATTGAAGTAGACGACTTATTCAGCTACTTCTATTTGCGATCGGAAATTGATCAAACACTTTTGGCTAACCAAGCAGACCCTGAAAAGCCAACGATGGGTGCGACGAGTAGTCGAAACTTGAATACATTAACCCTTTGAGTACCGGCAACGCGAATTCGCATCTTGATAGTTTAGGGTCTGAATAACTTTAGAAAACATGATCGTTTGATTATTTTATGATATGAATTACATGAATATTTGCGTTTAAGACATTTGTACGGTTAAGACTATCTGTACCTAGTGATGAATATTGATTGTTCCCTAATATTTCTATCGACTACTATGTGATTCAATGAATTAGAACATAAGTCATTGGACAACATTTCCCAAGAAAGAATAATCGTTATCAACAGGATTTTTCATATTAACACAGTCATTCAAGAGTGTTATCTATAGTAAAGGTTCTGATCAATTGATCACATTTGATAACATTTCCCTTCGCGCATTGAATCAACAGAGACTCAAATAAATCCAAGAAGAAAATGTTACGTTTGTGCCAATACTGTGAGAAGAGCCAGATCAAGAAGGGATACTTCGTATGAATGCATTGAATGTGATGTAGGATTGTGTCTTATGGATTGCTTTAAAGACTATCACACTCTACAAGTATTTTAATTCATGTACTTTGTGATATTTTTTGTGAAATAAACGTTAGTTTGAAATTATAAAAATTTTTATTATATAAAAATAATCCGGTACTCAAAAGGTTAATATAGAGACCATCAATGCAGAAATTTACTCAAATAAATAACATATTTATATAGAATCAATAGAAAAATTGAGCTGAACAGAAAACATCTATTTTTTTTCTTTCTAATTCATCAGTAAACTTGCCAATTATTTAATTACCATCAAATACATATTAAAATATCATTATCAAAATGAACATCTCTTGAGATTGAACACATTGATGGTAAACGATCTTTTAGCCATCGTACAAGTTCATCTTCATCTTCTATTTTTTTAACAACATATTTATCATTATTATCATTGTTTGCTAATATTAAACGATGATAATACTTTTCATCTTCACATTGAACATATAATGATAAAAGATTGATCATATTTTGTACAAGATAAATAATGCTTTCACGATTCTTAATTCGAATAGAAAGAACTTCACATTGAATACCTAATGGTGAATGACATAATCTAATACATTCTTCTTCATTCAAATGATAATGACACTCTCGTAAATTGAGCTGACGAATTGATGTATGTCTAGATTGAAATAATGACGTTTGCAAAGGTAATGATACATTTTGATAGATATTTAAACAATAAAGGTTAGGTGCACGATCAAGTAAAGCTTGAATTTTAGATTGAAAATTATCAACATGTGATAATATTGTAAGTGTTTTCAATCGATTGAAATTTGAAAGACTAGACCAGAACTGATCATTCGTAGGAAGATTTATACCAAGATATTCAATATCGGATACACGAATATGTGGTGGTATTGGTTGATCAAAAAGTGTCTCACCGATGCTAGGTATGCCATTGTACAACTCATGATGATCACAATATGGATCATTCAATGTAAACGATCGAGAAAGTTTATACCTGTCGTAATCAAATGTATTAGATAAAATGGAAAGATAAATAGTTTTTCTTTGTATAAAACATCGAACAAACCATTGATGTTCATTAATCCAAAATGAAGTTTGAAATGATTTGATTAATTCATCAGCTAGTTCCTGTATGTTTTGATCAAAAATCAATGAGCCTTCCATTTCAAGTCGAAATATTTTAAGATTTGGTAGATAATTAGAAATGATTTGTTTCCATTGATAACCATCAATTAATGAATTTCTTAAATTAATTTTTAAATGATATAAATTAGGCATACTTTGGAGAAATTTCATTATCAATGTGTCAGGTTCATTATAAACGTGTAAATTCAAATGAAACAATGATAAAACAGTAAATGGCATATAACCAAAGTTGAAAGAAAAGTCAATAGATACAGAAAGACTTTTAAGACATGGTGTAACGTCAAACAATTGATTTATCTCATTTAATTTCAATTCATTTTTATATATACATACATTTTTGATAGATAAAGATATTTTTTTCGGAATAGTAAAAAATATTTTTCGCTTAGTACACAAATGAAAATTACATTGAATAAGTTTAGGTAAACTCCAAATATTATCGACTATTGATTGAAAATTAGATTTATTCTGTGGAATTGCGTAGAAATGAAAGTTTAAATGAGTAAGATTATATAAATAATGACATCGATCTAAGATTTTCATTAATGATCCATGAAAACTAAAGCTTGTTACTGAAAATGATCGTAATCGAATGAATTGATTAACTGATGATGTATAAGAAAAAAATAAATTAATTTGTTCTGGTGTTTCAATAGAATCAATAAGATTAAGAGAAATAATTCGATCAACAATGAATGGTAAATGTTGTTGACATATTATAATGAAATTATGTTTTGATATTGATTTAAAATTAAAGCAATAATTTCGATATTGATTATAGAGAAGAAAATTGAATCGAGTATTAAGACCATAAAAAGTATGAAGGAGATCACTACCATTGAAATAAACAAATAGATTGAGTAAAATTTCATTGGGTAACAATTCTAAACTCATCTTACTCATTGTTTTTATGTCACTTACTGTTTTGTTTTGATGTATGTAAGAACACATTAGACGATGTTAGATGTAACATAAATGCAGAACAGAAACAAAACTTTGTTTTTTTTCTCCTCTCCTGCTAAAGTAAGGATTGTTTTTTTTGTCTACACCTCTTATAAACAAATAAACATTTTACTATGTAAATCGCACGTGGTTTTATAATATTAATACTAATAAAAAATTGAAATTATTGGATTTGAACTTAAAGAAATATTGTGTAATTTCTAATATGATTTGAACAATGAAATTGTCACAAAGAATATACAAAACAAAAATAAGTGAGTTTGATCTCTTTTTATATATGTATGATGAAGGATATAATAGTAGATGTTGTCCCATACACATCTTTCTTTTATTTAGTTTTATAGGCTTGACCTTACGATAATCACTATCACTTATACAGAAATATCGAATATACTTAATTCAACATAACATTAAGATTCTTCTGTCGTATTTCATCTTACAGAACTTCTAGGAATAATAACATTTACCAATCAGATTTTTTTGTATAGAGAAAAAAATATGTACAAACACTCTTTACAAAAGAAATTCGTAGTGAAGATTTGCCTTTATGAAATCTATTGTATGCATATCACATGCAAAAAACAAAAGGTAGCGAAGAACAAAAAGGCAAGTTTTGTTTTCAATATATCCTATGATTGTTTCATTCATTGTGCAACTATCGATAGAAAAGGATTCAGTTATCATGCCTATATCAATAAATACTAGTAACCTGCAGGCTATAAGAATTTTTATAGGGTAGGTTACAGGTTGTTAGGGTCATAACACCTGTCAACCTGTGATAATGATAGTAATGTCGACATAAGCAGAAGATTTCAAGACTATGAGATAAGATTTTTTGTTAGATCAAATCGTATACAAATATTTTCGACATATAATGCGATGATCTCAAGGGGAAAACGACTGACTTAAATCATGTTAAGTCAATTAAGTCATTTTAAGTGAAAAAAGAGTCAAGAAAGTCATAAAAATCATTTGTAAAGAAGCATTAATAAAGAATAAAAAGCTATAATTTTTTTTCAATAATATACACATCAAATAGGCGAAAGAAAAAGATACATAAATGTTGTAGACAAAATTGGCATATCATTTTGAGAACTTCAGAACTAACAAAGAAAACCAATCATATAAACGCTAGTGGAGTTAAGGATGATGATGAGAGTGAAAGAGAAGATCTGAATGAGAGAGCGGAAGTAATGATAGTAGGAATAAAGGATGGTGTTATACAAATATTCAGTTTGATTTCATTCTCAACTTCATCACACTTATCGAGACCCTTATCTTCACTGAGACCTCGGCCCTCGGCATCACCATCATTCATGATGACCCGAGATACGTAAGATCAAAAACTAAAGAGTTGTCAAGACCAAAACATAAAAATTTACAGGGACCAAGAAAAGGAAAACAAAGTTTTTTGTTAAATTTTCCTTGATTTTTAGCAAATTATGTGGTAAATCGTATCATCTCTTGACAAAATTGATCACAATAGGAGTATTTAAGAATTTTTTAAGATTTAAATCAGAAAATTCTAGAATATTTTGTTTCATACTAACACAAAAATCAGAACCGAAATCGTAATTAAAAAAAGTTGGTTTCAAACATGTCTATTCGTCGCTCCACTTCTGTCCTTATTGTTGTTTTTTTTTGTAGTTTTGAAGTTCATCAAAAATAATATTCGAATTTTAACTCATGAAAATTAGAATTCTAATTTTGCCTACAACATAGTGCTAGGCATTAATTTAGTTTGAACTTTGCCATTTATACACATGTATCATTTTTTTAGTTTTATATTCATATCACTCTTACATTTATGACTCTTCGAGAGCATTATTTGTGCGTACTAAAGCATTGCTTTCTAATATGTTCACCTCCTATAATAATAACTTTCATAATCTTATAGGTCAACTTGCCAGTTCAGATGAAGCAGCATTACTTAAAATTCAAGGTACTCGAGCGTAAGTGAAGTGAGGTACGGATTTTCTATCCAATGGTATATGCGGGTTTCTAATAGCTCAAAATACTTGAAGTTTGTCATAGGACTTAGATATATACATATATATATTTCAGTGTAACGGCGCAGAATTCGTTTAAAAACTTGTTCCAAAGGTTATACTATCATTCGAACTATAACTCAACGAACTCTATTCAATGATATAATTAGATTTTTCATAGCTCAAAACACATCTCCAGAAACCTCACAATACTGAAATTTCACTGGGGTGTGAGTGCGAGTGTGGGTGTGTTGTGAAGATAGTATCATTTATTCACCCACACCTACAATGTGTTTTCGAAACTCGTCTTTGCGAAAGTTAGACGTGCTAAGAGGCTCATAGTGATTTTTCAGAAGGTATAGTCCCTCAAAATTCCTTCAAGATTCAGCATGGGAACGACCCCTTTATGCCAAATGTTCTACTCACTGAACTCTACTGAACGAAATATACCAGGTTTGAAATGGTGCGTAGTACCTGAGCACCTTCTCTCGTCAGTCAGATACTTGCGTTTGCTCTTCATCTGAATTAGTCTCACCAGTATTGAGAATGTCTCATGTGTATTACAGGCAACAGTAAATGCAAATTTTTTGGGTACTATTTTTAGTGTTGTGTTTGATTATCAACTGCAATCGGAACAAGATCGGCTCAATTGATCTATTCTATCCAAAGAATTGACGACAAATTTATCACAATACATCAGAGAAGCATGAGCAAGAAACTTTACACCCATCGTGCGAATAGTTCTGCACACCTCCACTGTCGTTTTGATAGATCATGAATGTCTGCACGGGCAACGCTTACTTGCAACCTTTATTGATTCGTGCTTTACCGAAAAACAATTTCTTTTTTAATTAAATGTCATTACGATACTCAAACAAAAATGATAAAACATATGAATATAATATGTCGGTAGGTTCAAAAAAATCACGAATAAAAGTCTTCAAACTATTCAACAAATAATTATTCCATAGTTCATCGCACATTATCAAATAGAAAACAAGTTATAGAGAACAGAAAAAGATATTCAAGGGATGTTCATACGAATTCGACAATGGATTTCTAATTTTTTGAAATATTGTATTGTAATAGATTTCGATGAAATAATTGTTCAATGTTCAATAATGCATTAACAAATACATGAACTAAATGACATCAAGACTTTTCATACATAACAATATTTATTATTTGTAATTATCACGCACATAAGTGAATCTCTAGTATTGTTTTCGAATTTTTGAATGAGAATAAAATATGGCTAACTTCGATGATTGTAATGTGATGATTCACAATGTAGAAAATCATGTATATCACCAATAAGAAGATTTAGGTTAGTTAAATAAGAGTATTTATTCAAGAAACTCTGTATTAATGCTATTCTAGGAAAAGAAAAAATTAGGCTTCGATCATATAAAAAATTTTCTTTGATTTGAAATAGTGTAACCGATTTGTTTAAATATCTTTTTGTTTTCAAAACATAATATCTAATGAGTTTTTCAACTTGTTTATCATCTCAAATGATATTTATTATAATTATTCTTAATATTTTCGTGAATTTCATGTCAAAAATATGAAAAAAAAATGACATTTCTGATGATGAAACGAACACTATTTTAATGACATATTTTTATTAATTAAGTCACTAAGTAACATGTGAACTACATGTTCTTTTTGGTAAAAATAAATCATTTGAGTTTCAATATAGTTGATACTTTATTATTGTCTGACAATGTACGACATAAATAGAGAAACATCATTTTAAAATTTTCAATAATTCAACTTTTTGAAAATTCATTTTCATTGATTTGGTTCTTAAATTCAGTTTCGATGAATGATCGTTAAATTTTTTTTTAATTAAAACTTCTGATGACATTGGCAAATAAATAAAAACACTTAATTATTGTCAATTGACACAATCGTGAACGAGTGATATCTATCGTTTGAATTAATCTATTCGTTTGTTTGTTTTTCAATAATTATTCATTATGTTTTGCGATTATTATTGATTTATTTGGCCTTGTCTACGCTCGAACAATAATTCGATATTAATTTCGAATTAAATCTATATGCGTCTACGCTTATAAATTTCGTGCATCAATCAGAACTGAGAAATGGCCATTATAATGTAGTCAAAGTGCATAATTCTAGCATGTGTTCATGAAGAAAACAATGTCGCTTGTCTTTTTCATTAATCCTTATAGTTCGTCGTATTGGAAAACATCTATCTATCGATAATATAAAGCGAATTTATCAAGGTTCATTCATCATTTTGATTAGTAGATCGCAGTCTTTCGCGATTGATGCATTAGATTGGAATTAACTTTTCGACCAATCAAGTTCCTTAATTCGGTATTAAATTTTCTAGTGTAAACAAGGCCTGTGTTATGTTTTCTATAGAATCCAATCGATGTAATATAATTTTTGCCTATTAAACATTAAACATAATTTCTCATTGATGATATTGTTGATGAATGGATCTTTGGTATCCATCTCTAATAGTTCCATTATCATCTTCCATTGGTCAAGAAATTTTTTCTAGGTCGTCACATGTTGCTTATGATCGTCTTAATCCACATTTTGAAATAGAAGAACGTTTATGATTTTGTGGTATAGTCTGTGCTTCTATTTTACTAAACACTCTTCTATCGTATCAGAATTGGAGTCAATCAACTATTTATAAAAATGTTGCTCGAAATCAAATGTCATATGGAATAATTCTATCGAAATTATCTTATGTCCTTGAAAGATATGACCTTCAATCTATAATTCATTATAGTGAAGATAAAACTATCGAAGAAAAATTTTCTAATTGTTAATTATTGGAGATAATTTAAAGAAAAAAAATATAAAAATCATATTCATCGAGATGGACATTTAAGTTTAATTACTGGATTTAATGAAATAACAGATCATGTTCTCATATTGGATACGAGTCATACAAGATTTTCTCATCAT